CGAGTTCATACATCTTTTGTTTTTTTTGTTTTTCTATATATAAAAAATCATGTGATATGACGTCATTTCGACCATTTCAACTTTTCATTTTGACTTTTGGGTTTTCATTTCGACTTCATGTATAATATGGATACTCGGATCCAAACTTTACTCCACAGTTTCAGTTTTACTAAGAAAACTTAGTAATAACCGCCATCTCGACTTTGTAACAATTTATTAGTAAAAAAATGTTTCTGAAGTTGTGAACATGTTTTTTACTAGGTTTCTTAGTAAAGTAATGTCTCCGAAACTGTGAAGGCATTCTTTACTGTTTTTCTTAGAAAAAAAACATTTTTAAAACTGCAGAGACACTTTTTACTATGGTTTTCTTAGTAAAAAAAGCATTTTCAAAGCTGCAGAGGTGTTTTTTACTATAGTTTTCTTAGAAAAAAAGCTGTAAAAGTGCTTTTTGCTATAGTTTTCTTAGTAAAAAGCATTTTCAAAGCTGCAGAAGCGCTTTTACTATAGTTTTCTTAGTAAGAGGCACTCCTAAAGCTTTGGAGATAGCTTTACTATTGATTCAAATTAAATCAAATATTTGAATACTTGATTTGAATTTGATTAAATCAAATCAAACATTAAATTGAATTTTAATCATCTTTGATTTGAATTTGATCAAATCAAATCAAATATTCAAATATCAAATTGAATTGTAAAACCCTACATATAAATATCTTATCAAACCAAATAAAAAAGGCAATAAGACAAATTTGTCAAAAATTTAATGTTTTGCAACAGGATTTAATCCAAGAGTAGAGAAGACATTATGATGCAGAGGTTGAAAGGGATAATAAAATAATACGAAGACAACTTGCTAAAGGAGGGATAGCCACAATTGTTAGTGATCTCCATCAATATCAAACTAATACTTAAAACCAAGTAAATAGAATGATAGGTAATATAGCAAGAAAGCAAACCTGTATAGGTGAATTGGTACAAGAAATTTTTTTTTACAATTATTATATCAGCGAAATGCCTACCACCTATAGTGAAGTAGAGGAGATATAGGTCTGTTAGAATATAATTAAGACAGGCTCTATAAGCGATATAAGAAATAGAAGGCTAAAGAAAAAAATTCTCATCAGAATATTTTAAATTTGCAGGGACAAATTTTAGTGTTACAGAATAATTCACCAAATTAAATAAATATGGCAGAAATCCTACAACTATTTTTTGACTGGGGTGATAGTATTCCAGATTTTTTAGCAAAACTTAGATTATATTTGCAAAATCAAGATGTAGATCCAGCAGATAATACAGGAGGTCTATCCACTGAAAGAGAAATAGCTATAAGATATTTGAGAAGATGTATGAGAGGAAGAGTCTTAGAATAGTTTGATGAAGAAATTACTACAAAACAGAATTGGAAATTAGCAAACTTACTTGATAATACTAGGCAGGATAACTTAGTAGTAATAAACGGATAAACAGCTGTTCAGATAGGAAATCAAGCAATAAATGAAGCTTTTGGTCAACCAGAAACTGTAATAATCAAATTGAGAGTTGTAGAAGGCCCTTGGGATAAAGACTAACATATAACAGATAGTCATCCTACTAATCTTGCTATAAATGCACCAAATGCTAATAATAGTACTACAGTAATTGTAGCTGGTATTCAATTTGGTTAAGCTATATGATGGCTGAAAACTCATTTTCCTACTGTAAAAGAAAAACTTCAGGATTTGATATATAAAACAATCAGAAAGGAAGACATGCCTGTAGATAAATTATATAGAAAAATATTATGAATAGGTAGACAAGCTAACTATAGATCTGAAGAATTATGTATGAAGTTTTTAGATGCCCTTTCACTTCCATGACTTGAAAAGACTGAGGATATTAGTGAACATTTGCCATTAGATGAATTAGCTAAAAATCTTTATGAGATAGAATTATGCCGAATAGCTAGACATAAATGAGATAAAATATCAGATCCGCTAATATCTAATCGAGCATCTCAGTAAATATATGAATCTTCACCTGTTTCAGCCTCACAACAGTAAGGAATTTTTTTTAGAAGATATGCAAGAAGCAATTCAAAATGCACTGACACAGCAAAAAACTAAATATCAGTTTTTATTAGAAAAGCAAAAATCTGATTTTCAATCGCAAATGGCTCAGCAAGTAACTACTTCACAAACTGTTAAACCGATTAGACAGCTGAAAAGTCCACCATCTACATTGAAAATAGAGGAAGGTCTTAAGAATTATTATGTAGCTGAATTAGAGCTCTGAACAGATCAGGTCAGATTGGGTAATTGACTTGACCTGACCTAATAAGATCAGGTCAGGTCAGACATAAAATTGACCTGAATTAAATATACATTTGACCTGACCTGACCTGACTTGTCTTAAAAAAAAACTAAACAATTATTAATTTTGTTGAATATTTTTTTAAAAAAATATAAAATAATATTGATACATTTTTACATTTAATTATTTTTCAAAAAAAAAAGTTACTAATATAATTATTTTAACTGCAGAATTTAAAATTACAGGTTGCGATAAATTTGCAAATCTGGTGACTGCTAATACAATTACAAAAAACGTTCATAACTTTACAACCATTAATCCAATCATAATAAAATTTATATGCACATATTATCGAACTTGCTGAACAATATTACTTATGTGACTAAAGTTGATTTCCTTTGACCAAGGTACTTAAATTGCTCTTTGAAGTTACTGTACATATAAAAAATAAAAATAAAAAAAATTCGTGATATAATACAATTATGAAAAACGTGCATAACTTTATAAATATTAATCCAATCATAATAAAATTTTATATGTACAAATTATTAAACCTACTGAACAACTTTACTTACGTGACTAAAGTTGATTTCCTTTGACTATAATACTTAAATTGCTCTTTAAAGTCACTGTACGGATAAAAAATAAAAATAAAAAATTTGTGAGATAATATAAATATGAAAAACGTATATAACATTACAACTATTAATCCAATCATAATAAAATTTTATATGCACAAATTATCGAATCCACTGAACAACTTTACTTATGCGATCAAAGTTGATTTCCTTTGACTAAAATGCTTAAATTGCTGTTTGAAGTTACTAAATAAATAAAAAAAAATAAAAATATTTCGTGAGATAATACAATCACGAAAAATATTTATAACTTTATAACTATTAATCCAATCATAATAAAAATTTATTTGCACATATTTTCGAAACCGCTGAACAACTTTACTTATATGATAAAAGTCGATTTTCTTTGACAAAATTGCTCAAATATCTCTTTGAAGTAATTGAACGGATAAAAAAAATTATAATTATATTGTTGAATAATGTAATTGCAAAAATGTTTATAATTTAAAATTTAACCTTTTAATTATAATAAATTACAAAGTAATTATACAAACAACTTTATTAGAATATAAAAAGAAAGTATATTAAATAAAATTAAAGATGTTTTAAAAAAAAAATAGACAAAAAAAATTTTTTTTAAATATTTATTTTGTTTAAATTTGATTAGTTGACCTGAATTTTATCAGGTCAGATCATAAGCTTGACCCGACTTGATGTTGACCTAAAAATTTGTCTACTTGACCTGGATTTTTCAGGTCAGGTTGGATCAGATCACAGGTTGATCTGACCTGATTCGAAGTTCTAGTTCTAATAGAATGATGAAAAAATCGTTCTAAAAGAACGATATTTGATCATTTCAATGGAATGATAAAAAATCATCATTCTTTTAGAATAATGAAGTAGATGAAGTATTATTTCTTTAGAATGATAAAAAATCGTTCTTTCAGAATGATCAAAATCATCATTTTTTCAGAATGATAAAGTATTGTTCAATAGAATGATCAAAATCATCATTTTTCAAAATAATGAAGTATCGTTCTTTAAGAATGATCAAAATTATCATTCTGAAAGAATGATGAAGTATCATTTCTTTAGAATGATAAAAAATCATCATTCTGAAAGAACGATAAAGTATTATTCCTTAAGAACAATAAAAAAATTGTTCTTTCAGAACGATGAAGTATCATTTCTTTAAAATGATAAAAAATCATTGTTCTTTCAGAACAATAATGTATTGTTCCTTAAGAACGATCAAAATCATCATTCTGAAAGAATGATGAAGTATTGTCCAATAGAACAATCAAAATAATTGTTCTTTTAGAATGATGAAGTATTGTTCCAATAGAACAATCAAAATCATCATTCTGAAAGAACGATGATGTATCGTTTCTTAAAAATGATGAAAAAATCGTTCTTTTGAAACAATTTCTATCGTCTCTTTTGGGATGATTATATCGTTCCTTTAAGACGAGTGTATCATCTCTTTGAGACAATACTCTCAGAATGTTTTTATAATTTTAGCAAAAATCAGCTCAGCAGATTTCGACTAGTGAGATATAGTTGATTTGTTACCAAATCTTGAGTCTAACTGAAATTTTGCTGAATATTATAACTGAAAGGTCTTAATGCCAAAATAATGCTAAATTATGTGAGATGTAACAAATTATTATCAATTTTTGTAACTTAAGCCGAATTTTGTCAAATCATATGACCGAATTAGCTGAATGTTAACCGAATGGTATTAGTGCTGAATGAAATAATTTTGACTAATGATTAGACATAATATTAACATAGTTACATAGCAGAAAAAAAATATACAAATAAAATTCTGAGATAATACATTCATCCTGTATATTCAGAATGATATATTCTTTCTATACATCCTGTATATCCTGTATATCCCATTTATCTCGAATATATTTTTCCTGTATATCCTGTACATCCTATATATTCTGTTTACTGAAATATATTCTTCCTGTATATCCTGTATATCTTATATATTCAGAATGATACATTTTTCCTATATATCTTATTTAATAAATTATTTCAGAATATTATATTAGATATAAAAATATTGCTATCATGTTTGAGCGATGCATGAGATATGATACCCCTTCTTTTTCACTAACTGATTACAATTTTATTATGCAATGTGCTGAAAAAAAATCTAGAGATGAAGTTTTGAAGGATTTAACAGATAAATATCACATATCACAAAAACGTATTTATCAAATTTGAAGAGGTGAAGAAAAAAAATAGGGTTATGTGGAATTAACTAATTCATATGTCAACAGCTTCACTTTCTAATATAAATGTTATGGGCGGACGGACTGAGCTAAAGATCCAATACCAGGATGTTTCTCTATTTGCAGAATTGGAAAACAAATACATGATGGTAAGATAGAGCCTAGTAAATCTACTGATTTAGCTTTAGAAGGAAGTGTTATTTTAGGCGGTAAGACGAAAAAGACTGGAAGAAAGAAATCAAAGTCTCTGAACCATCTAGTCTTCAGACTCAGTCAATCCAGGCTTCAGAGAAGGATACAAATAGTTTAAATTTTGATGCATTGTATGAAAAGATGGTCGAAAAAAGCATAAAAATTTTAGATAAAAAAAGAAGCATTATTCTGAAAATAACTCGCCTATTCCCTAAGAAGACTTTCGCAAAACTCATTGATTTTCGCATTGAACTTGATAGCATTGGAAAGCTTCTTCTCAAGCTCTTTCATACGAATTACCATATCCTTATAGTTTATGCATTTTTTTTAATACATTATCATTCTTACTTAAGTCCTGCAAGTTTTGCGAAATTCTATCTGGAGTTGAGAAAGCATCGCATTCAGAAATAATATTTGCGTAATTTACTTCAAGCTTATTCTTGACCTTATGCATATTAATTGGAATAAAAAATTCTTTACCATTACATTCTAGTCTCAACTTTCACTTTAATGCAAGCAAATCATAATTATATTTATCGAAAAATGTGTTTGGCAAAATTAGCATCAGCTTTCCTAGATGATTTTTGATTACTACGAAATCAGAATATATAATACATCTAGAAGCAAAATATACAGGCACATTTCTAGTTATACTAAGCGATTCTATAAGAACTGAAGCAATGCCTTTAAGGTCATGTTTTTCACTCATATCAATTTTTAGTTTTAGTCGTTTAGCTATATCATCAGTTATAATTGCGAAATTAGCATTAGGATCAACCACGATACCTGGAATCACTAAGCATTTAATTTACATTTTACCATTGCAATATCTGTAGCAGGATCATTTTTCTGAACAAAGTCAATTTCTATTAGATCCTCCAAATATTCTTCCTCCTTTAGGTCTGATAAAATGTCTTTGATAATTAAAGCCTTATCACTCTGAAACTCTGTCTTCTCCTAAATAGAAGGCATTTGTTTTGGTATATTAGCTTTATTGGAATTGGAAACAGAGTCTTGAAAAATCAATGCAGGAAAAATTAATTTAAGTTCACTTTAGAGAATTTT